AGGAGAGTCATGAGATCATCCCTGCCACAGCCCCTGACGTACCTGAGCTGTTGCCTCCAGCCAGCATGGTTGGGCTGACCGAGGACCTCCCCAGCCTGCTGGACACCACCGGCGGGCCCGGCGTCCCGTCCCATTCCTGAGCTTTCCCCGGCTCCCTGGAGGAACCCGTCCCGTGATGGCCTCCCCGCTCTTTGTTTTCCAGCTTTGGTAGGGGTTCGGTGCTGTGACTTCTGATCTTCAGCTCATCGAGTGGCTCTGCAAAAGAGACGGGTGCCTGCTGATAACCCACATCAGAGAACAATCTTTTGCTCAATATTCCATCTGTACCAACCATAAACCTTTTAAGGACAATCCATACCACGATTTTAGCATCTAGGCCTGAAACCTATAGTAACCGCTCTGTTACATCTTTTATGTGCCAGGAAAGTATTTTTGAAAGCTGCATCCTAACGAATTATGCTTTTATTATTGATATATCGAAATACTTGAATTCTTCTCAGTTGTCGTTTCACTGGGAACAAGTTCTTCTTCAGGCACTTCCTATGGACGCTCTCTCCTCCTAAGGCAATTCTGTGTGAGCGACATAATCTGTACTCCTCATAAGTGCCAATAAAAAGCTCATCTTCCCCCAGAGTGCCCTGTGTTAATGTTCTGGGTGTGCCCAGCACCATAACCTAGGGAATAACATTTCACTTGCTTGGAAAACCCTTGGAGTCAGAAATCAACTTTCTGCTTGCAACACCACGACTCAATATAAGCAGGAGAAAATCAAGAGCCGGTTGGTCGAATGATTTTTCCGGTGAAGCAGCAATGGCTGCTTTCTTTGCGGTCAGTGATTTTCTGTTCTTTTCCCAAGACCCTTATTTCATGCAGTATTAGATGTCTGCACCGCAGAGACCTTGCCTACGCACAACAGTTACAAAACCTCATCTTGTTTTGAGCTCTTTGATGTTCCAACCTGCAGATGAAAACTAGATGAGCGACAACGTGGCCAATCTGGAGTTTCCTCAATGAAACGTCAGATAGGAAACACGTAAAAACATCTAACTGGATATACGGTGCAATAGCGTATTTTATCAATTGCCACCAGTTATGAGTAAAAACTAATGTTAAGCATATACCACCAGGGCAGCAACACTCCATGAGAAAATGATAAAGCACCCCCAGTTTAGCAAGCCTCATAAATAGGATTCAGTGGCATTTTATGTGACAAAACGCCTTCAAAACCCAGACCTCTTCCTTGAACTTGCAGATCACTCACCTACTTTAATGTATGCAACAAGTCACTGTAATGAAAACCCAAACTGTTTGTTTTCCCTGGTCGGTGACCCCAGCAGAGCTCAAGGGTGAGGAGCAGTCAGTGTGGGTGTAACACGACATCTGCCTCTCGGGTACCTTTGCTGTGAGATGTCCGTGGCACAGCTCTGCCTGCTACAGCGAGCCGCGCCGAGAGACGCAGAGCCCAAATCCTAACTGCACCTGAACCTTTAGTTACTGACAGAAGTGCTCTTGTATTCTTTTCCTAAGCATCCATCTATCAAAAATAATTCTGTACTTTGTCACATAACAGATACATGCGACCACATCTGAATTTTTTCTTTACACCGAGAACATTCGCTTCTGTAAGATACGATTTATCTGTGAAGAGATAGGAGGAACAAAGTCACACAATTCTTTGGAAACGCACACAATCCTCTTCCCCACTGATCCAGGACGCTGTCTAGATTGCTGCTCTTGCTTTCCAGCCAAGCGAAGACAAAGCCAGAAGAACAGAACACGTGAGTGCCTCAGCGGCTTAACAAGACCTCCGAGCGATTTAATTAACGCCGCCAGCCCCGCGCTGCCGTGGGGACACCCCGGTTTGAGCGCAAAACCACAGAGTTGCCCACTTCAGTTTACTTAACCGAGAAGCATTTGTACTTGGTGCCTGATAAAAATGATTTGTGCGTTCTTAGCTTTATTATCAGCAGCATCAAAGCCCCGGCGGTTCTCTGCAACCAGCTGGAAACTATGGGAATACTCAGACTAAATAAAGATTTGGCTTATAGTCTCCTTCTTTATAAGGTGTAGAAAATCAGTTTTCAGCGGGCTGTCTAGACTTTGTAAATTTGCATTCCGCCATCCCTTCTTGGGGATTTTCAGTTCTCAGTTTATCTGAAAAGTAATATATCCTAAAAATGAAAACAGATTGAATCAGATTATAATGTCATGCAACCCATCACAGAACCTCAGTCATTGTTATTTGGTGATGGCTATCACCAACATTGATACTCAGTCAGAAAAACATGCCAGTGGTTTATGTAGCTTTCTGTAATATTACTTTCCTGCTCACTTGAAAATATGTAGCTGTTGCCTGCGGTCACCTCTGGGCTGGTGACCTTCCACCAGCTGAAAAAGAAACCAGTATATTTCAAACAGGGCAACCCCTTGATAAAAGCTACAGCAGGATTTAAACGGCCACTTCACCCGCTGAAAGCATGATCCCAGTTGTATATACATATCTTCTCCTAGAAGGAGCTGCTGCACAGCTTTTTTATTATATTTTTTTATTTGAGAAGTGCAGAAACACAGATGGGATCTAAGCTAACCTCATGCTGTTAAAAACCTTAATTTGGAGCTAGGAGATGCTGAAGCTCAGCACTAGGCTGGGAGCTCCCTCATTCTTCTGATGGCCACAGGCAAATCTTTTCTCAGTCAAGTACTGTATTTTGAAAGCTGGAATTATTATGGAGAGTGACTTTATTGTTCAATAATTCGCCAGCCTAAACAGTACATAAAAATGTAAATTTCAAGAAATAATTCACTGCTCTAAATATTTATGGATACAGTTGGTTGAACTGCCATAAAGGCGTTCAAATGTTGCAAGCAATTCCAGGTGTCACAGTATTTCAATATTCAAAGATATGCATTTTTCCTTATTTATTTCACCTAAATCTTAGGCTTTTCCATGTCAAGAATAAGGCGCTGGCTAGAATCTCTTAGATTTAAAAAATTCAAGCTGCCCCTTAACGGCTTGCTTATGTGTGACTGGCCGATCTGCACAGCTGTAAATTCATCCCGAAATAAACGCAGAGGCTGTTGATGCCCCCTGCAAGAAACACGGGTAACGCTCGGTGCCTGAGCCGTCCTGCCCCTCGGAAGAGGAGCGTGTTACGCTGCCAGAGAAAGCCATTCCCTCATCTCTGCTAACTGTGGCGGTTTGTCTATTCTGATTTCATCTGCTTGCTAATTGAGGAGAAGTTTGCTTTGCATATCAATTTTTAATACCCCTTTTTTTACAGTTAAACGAGAGTTGCGGCAGCCAGCTTGTTCAATTAAAAGCCGCTCTGACCTAGTTCTGTGCCAAATCGATCGAGAGCCTGAAAGAGTCTCAAAAAACATCCAAAGGGTGAGGAGACGTGGCTGAAACGCTCCCCGGCGCGCACCGAGCACATGTGTCCGTGAGCGGCGCCGCGTTTGTTTTGGCCTGCTTTACACGGAGAAACGTGGCAGAGATCAGCTCTGCCTGCTACAGAGCTCCAGAGGGAGGGAGGGACTGCTAAAAAAAGGTGATTCCCTGCTATTCTGTGCCTCACCCAAAGCTGCCAGGTGGGCAAGGCTGGCCAGGGGAACAGGAGAGGAAAAGGAAAAAACCCACGTGGCAACTAACGGAAGACTAACAAAAGAAGGGAGATATTTATACCAAAAGCTCATCTAAAGCTTTAGCATAAAAATCTTTTTCTTCATGTTATGACTGCTATAATCTGGTTGAAAAGGATGGGATGGAACATTAGAATAGAATAGAATAGAATAGAATAGAGTAGAGTAGAGTAGAACAGAACAGAATAAGGTAGGTTTAGAGTAGAATTCTTTGTTTCAATAACCTTCAGCTGGCATTCTCAGTCACTCAGAAGATGAAGTTTTCAAAATTCTGCATGGTAAGCCATACATTTAACATTGTTTAATGTCCTACATAAGGGGAGCTGAGTGATCCACGATGACCATATTTTGGCATATGTTATAGACGTGAGACAACATATCCCATTTCCAATGGGATCATCGCTATTTCTTAATGATTTTGTACGATACTGCAGTTGATCTTTTGAATGTGCCTGTGCTGCTGCCCTACCCTACAGCCTGATCTTTTGACTGAGAAAGCTAAAATATCCAGGCACTTTAAGAAAAATGTTTTTTGCCGAAAGTTCATGACCCTAAGTTTCAGAGCTTCACTTAAAAAATATCAATCTTTCATAGAAGTGCTGACTGTATTAAACTTGTCAACATTTTTTAGGTCATGTTTTCTGCTGAAAAACAGCCTTTGAACTATATCAGCAATTTGAATGCAGTGGTTTTTGCATTGTTTGACCGCAATTATTCTTTTTAAATCCTTTTAAAGTCTATGCCTTCATCCAGATTCAGTAGTAAATGAGAATCTGTTGTTTGTCAAAAACTGCAGAGACAGTAACGGGCACTGGGTGTGAAAACTGGGGACAGAAGTGCTCACCCTCATGTTTTCACATTAAAAAATTGATTTAAAAGTTGGAGTGAAAATAATTTTTTTCCTGGCTATTTTGTCTCTGTTTTACCTACCTTTATGAAAGATATTTTCATCAATGCTCTTCTCTTTATCAGCTCCATTGATGGATGAGAAAACTTGCCTTTCATTATCAGAACAGCTGCCCCACTTGTACAGCTCTGCCACCAACACCTCTTACCTGTAACAGGGAATCCTGACCTTGTCTCATCGTTAGTCCTACCTGGATTTTGCTCTCCGATTTCTGAAGCCAGGCATTTACCTGAGCAGGAAAATAGCTGTAGGTTTCCGGGTAGAAGGCACTTTTGGAGTTACAAATTTAAGTCGCATAGAAAAATAATTTCCATCTCCAGCACAATTAAACACGCAGCTTCTCTTTTTCAGATGAGTAGTTACAAGAACAATAGTTCTCCTTACTCATTCTAAAATGCCAGATAAAGTGCTAATTGCATGTTACTGTTTTAACAAAAAAAATAATTATTAGGGATGGGTAATTCCCTTCAAAGGAGTAAAAGTAACCTTCACCTTCACATCAAACCAAATGTAAATGAGCTTAATTTTGTAATATGCATTATTATCCTGACAATTATTTCCTCAGTGTTCCTGCACTTCTCACTTGAGCTATACTTAGCATGTTTGTACACCCCTACGGTTTCGTGGTTCAACATCTGAATCAATGCTACGTATATAACCCAAATAAAGCCATTTCTAACTCTTTGGTGTCTCTTGTTACTGAGAGACT